GGGGGGGGGGGGGGGGGGGGTTTGACTTTGGGTATTAATTATTGTATTACAGTTAATGTGGGTGGATTCCCAGCAGGAACTACGATGCCACACGTGCGTACGCGCTCTCCAAGCTTGCCAACGTTCTTCACACGCACGAACTCGCTCGCAGATTGAAGGTTCTTTTTACATTCTAATATTATTTATTACCTCTTCTTCATTTTTGGGTTTATTTATTTATTTATTTTGATTTAGCAAATGGAAGCTAATGTTAGTGTGAACTGCGTTCATCCCGGAATTGTAAGAACTCGTCTCACCAGAGATCGTGAAGGTTTCATAACTGGTATGAATTTTATTTTATTTTTCTTTTAGGTTAATTCAATATTAAATAAATAAATAAAAATGCAGATTTGGTGTTCTTTATGGCTTCCAAGCTGTTGAAGACAATCCCTCAGGTAAACAATTCAAAACCTCTGGATAATTAAAAAAAAAACTGAAAAAGAAGATTGAAACTGACATCGGCCGCCTGATGCTCTTCTTGGACAGGCGGCGGCAACGACATGCTACGTGGCGACGAGCCCGAGGTTAAGCCACGTCACCGGGAAGTATTTTTCAGACTGCAACGAAGCCTCGCCGTCGAAGCTCGCCGCTAGCCCAACGGCAGCCGCCCGTCTCTGGTCCGCCTCCGAGATCATGGTCAACACTAAGTCAAAGCTGGTTTTCGATCCAAACAACGGGTTGGAGTAATTTAGTATATTAAAAATCCAAATCCAAGAAAATATATAAATTGTTTGGTCTAGAGAGGGAGAATCTTAGTCCAGAAATGAATTATAAATATATATATATAAATATATATAAATATATATATATTGGTAGATGGTAGGTAGACAAAAAGCAAGAAGCTAGGTAGCTAGTGGAAGGGGGAAGGAATATATTCACATCAAATGTAATATTATATAGTTTCTTTTTTTAATTTCTTTGTTTATAATGTGGTAATGGATATAATCAAATATCTAATTTTCTTATATTTTTAATTAACTACTCAATTTTTTATAATTTCAATATATATATATATACATATATATATGGTGACATATCAGCCAAGTTAAGTGCCTGATTACACTTTAATTATATTATTGGACCCATCAAGTATTGGATGATTTGGCTGTGTATAAGATCATTTAATCATGATGATACTAAGATTCTAGGGCCATATTTAAAGTAAGAAAAAAAAAGTGGCTTTATTTATTTATTTATTTCTATTTTTTAAATGGAAATAATTAAAATTAGAAAATGGCTACTATTTCATTCCAATTATTTGAAAGACCCATGCTTTTGTTTAGGTACAAAATACGAAAACGACGGCGTATTGCATCTTTGGACTTTGGGGGGATGTGGGGTAGGATGGTGGCAGATTTTCATGTGGGTGGGATTATATATATATATATTTTTTTAATTTTAATAATTTAAAAGAAAAAAAAAATTCATCAATATAGGACCTACTAACATGTGCCCTTAGTTTTAAAAAATACCCCTATGAAGTCGTGGATTTAAATTATGGATGGTCTCCTACCTAAAATATAAAATAATTCATTGAGTTATTTTAATATTTAAATATCGTAAAATTAAATAGTTGTCAATGTGAACGGTCAAAGTATGGTGAATGTATCTCTAGTATCCATATTTATTCAAAATAATTAGTTTTAATAATAATTCTATATATAAAAAAAATTAATTAATTAGGTCCTTAAATTTTTAATTTAGTCTTTCGAAGAAATTCTTGTTGAGATATACATCAAACGGGCCTGCCCACAAAGAAGCCCAAAATGAGGCCCATTCAAAGTCCAGACCCATTGGTTGCCAGATCATGCAATTTTCATTCGATTGACACGTGGGACGTCTTGTTTTCATCGACCGGTGATAACCGGTTCGAACGCTCAGGGTTTGGTTGAACCAACCCGTCTTTCTGAACTGTTTTCGCTGAGAACGGGATTCGGCGACAGGCGGTGAATTATGGCGTCGGTTTCAGGGCTTTGTTTACTCCAATCTCTCTCGGACTAATAAGTTCCCATGAAGTTTTTGATTTCGATTTGAACATTTTCATGCACTTGGCATTCTCCTCTTCTTCCTAATCCCGCCATGGAAGCTTCCCTTTCTCCAGCTGCTTCAAAAGGTCTGGATCCTTTTTCTTCTTCAGATAATGCATCTCTGTTCTTTTCTCTTCATCGATAGTACACTTGATGAATATTGTCTTAAATCCATAGCTTAATTGCATATTTAGAAAGCTAATTTGCTATCGGTTGGCGATTATTTCATCAATTTGCACTCATGAATTGATATTGTGCGCTCTAAAAATTTTATCCGCTAGTCGATTGTTGATGTAAATGTGCAACTTCATAAAAGATTTGAGCAGATGTGGTTTTTTATTGTGGCTTTTCTGGTGATTGATTTTATTTTCTCGCGGGAAAATACTATTGTTCATCACTATTCTCAATAGTTAGTCAACTGAAACGTCTTGTTGTATTTTCATTTCAGGAATAAATTTATCGGCAGAATTTGTGTGTTTCAGAAAGGAAAAACTTGTACCAAGAGCTCATAACTTTCTGTCATTCAATTCAGCCCATATATATCGACCACTGCTCTTAGGTCAGACAAAGGATTTCTGTAGGAAGAATAAGTGTGCGACGGTAGATTACCATTACCTTTCTTTCTCTCCGCAGTCTCAATAATTACTTCGATTCTTTTTGTATGAGAAATGTCACTGTTGAATCTTTCCCTTTTCCAGTTTACGTGCAGTCAGAGGAGAGAATTTTCTGTTGTCGAGGGCAGGTACGCTAACAAACCGTGTTCAATTGCCATATTTGTATTTCAACTGATTTCCATGGTTTGAAAATTGTGAAAGAAAAATAGGACTTCAATAAAAACTATATTCAAAGATCAAATGTCAAGTCTAATTAATCACAAAGCTTCATTTCGATTTCATAATATTTGGCGGCTGGAGGACGTTTCTTGGCATTTGGTCTTACAAATTAGTGTGCTGGAGCATCCTTGCATTTCCATCATTCATAAAACATCACAATGGGAAAAATTAGTGTGATTGGATTTAACAGCCATTTTATCATCTAAATGCTTTAAAGCTGCATACACATGATTTAAAAGAAGCATTGCTGCATTTTAAACATTGTTATAACGTTTTTTTTTCTTCATCCATATCAATAACTAATCATCTTTCTGTTTCTACTTTTCTTGTGTTCATTTTGACGTTCCTTTCTATTATCTCTCAAGGTGTATAGATGACATATATGATGATTTAGCTAAACGTCTTCTTCCAACAGCAGCAGCAGCAGCTTCAGATCCTGATCTTAAGTAAGTCGCACCTTTCAAAACTGTAAAAAGAGGGGGTTCAGGTAGTACACCAGATAATAAATACGCTTTTTGAAAAAATATTACAACATATTATTATCCACTTGGTATTGCTAATTTTTGCCCCATCAGCAACATTAAAATCTTATAACCCCGACCAGAGTTATTGTATTTAATAGACAGAAAAAACCATCTCTGTAGAATTTCAACGATAAACGCAGCATGGTGCCTTTTTGGATTCTGATTACCTTGAATCTCCAATGAGATATTTGTTTTATTTATTTATTTATTTTAAATCTTTTGACTAAAATATACCACTTGTTTCTATTGCCCCTGACCACCCCAAGGAGATTCAAATAGCACCAAATCCCATCCTTCTATGTAAAAACACATATAATTCCATATTTCAGTAAAAAATTAGAGATGTGCATACAAGCATATACGAGTTTTACAAATTTAATGTATTGAATAGGTCGATCACTTTTAAGTGAGGATTATAAAGTTTCAAATTTGATGTAACCTCTGTACCCAAACATGAATGACTCTGGAGGTATTGTCAGATAGCAATAATGGCAACCGATGTTATATTGTGTGAGACATAATTGAAAATGCTTTATTGTACTTAGAAAGAAGAGAAAAATAAAAAAAAAGGACACATCCATTTATATTAAAGGGAGTGCGGTGGATAAGACAGCTTATTTTCTGATAAATTTCAGAATTCCTAATAACCTCTTCTTTCCCCTTTTTCAATTTTTATATTTAATGCTTATGCCATTCCCACCTAGTATTCACATTTTATTTTTATTTTTTATATTTACCTGATCATGCAGATATATTATAGGTTTGGCTGGTCCTCCTGGTGCTGGGAAAACAACTGTAGCATCTGAAGTGGTGCGGCGATTAAATAAATTATGGCCTCAGAAAGCTTCTTCAATGGATTCTCAAGTAAAGCCTGCTGATGTTGCTGCAGTTCTCCCTATGGATGGTTTCCATCTTTATCGTTCTGAGCTTGATGCAATGGAGGTGAGTTTTTATGTGTTGATTTCACGGAGTTTACACTGCCTCTTTTGTGGCACATCATACAGAACCATCAGATTGCTTTTTAACTTATAGGATTAGAAATTACATGTGGGGCTTTAATTGGTTTGTATACAGTTTAATTTCTTTGATACATTGGAAAATGATCTGAGTAGAGGTTTGGCATACTACAGCACTTTTCCCCCCTTAATCTTGTCATAGGTTTATCATGGCACTATTTCATCGAGTATTTTATGATTCCAGTGCGTGAACTACAAATGACATGCATAGTTATTATTACCATCTGATGGGCGAACTTTTGATCTAATCTTTTTAATAAGTTTGTCATGTATTATATTACGATGTTATCTCCATCTTTAATTCAAGATGCTACGTACATGCTCTTGTCGATGTCATGCCCTCCTGGCTTTGAGCTCAAAATCATTAACTGCTAATTCCACCTGTAAATCTTTTCTGTGATGTATGTTGCTTTACTTACTCCTAACTGTAAGCTGTGTCCTCATCTCAATAGAATCCAGAAGAAGCGCATGCAAGACGGGGAGGTGAGATCTAAGTTAAATTAATTGTTGATTTTATACCTTGCAAGCACCAGACGTGGTTGATTTCTAATTGATGAATCAGCTCCTTGGACATTCAATCCTCAGCAGCTACTCGAATGCCTCAAGACACTAAGAAGTCAGGTAATTTAGTTACTTAGGAAGAAAGGCATAATTTCTCTATTTGAGCATCCATGCTTTAGTAAGATATCTTCGTCGTGCTCTTTCTTTCTGTTCAGTTTGAAATGATGGCTTTTCCAGGGATCGGTATATGCACCATCATTCGATCATGGTGTCGGTGATCCAGTTGAGGATGATATCTTCGTGAGCCATCAGTAAGTGGTTTTTTCTTTTTCTTTTGCTATACTGTTGTATTAGTCAATCGTTGCAAATAATTTGGCCAACTACGAACGTTTCCCTTGCTGACATGATTATAACTAATGGAAATTCTTTGGGTACCTCGGTCTGGCAAACATAAACTAGGAACGGCAATTAAAATTTAAGAAGGGATTAATGGATTCATTACAATCTAAGGTGGAAAGCTGATACCAATCTCAACTAATCTGTTGAACTAGGTTGAAAAGTTGTATCAATTGGCTGCCTTAAGTTTAGTATATCAAGTTTTGATCTGCCTGATTTCTGCAAAATCATGTGATAAGATTTTCAAAAAAATTCATGGGGTTTTCTGCTACAATGCTTATATCCTTCTGTTGCTATACTGACAGCATTTTGATTGGAAAGTCAATCCATCTTTAATTTTGGGATTCAGTTTCGCCCACAATCTGGATCTGAAAATCGTTCTATTTCCATTATATTACTAAGTATATTATATAATTATATTCTTTCACCTGCAGGCATAAAGTCGTTATAGTAGAAGGAAATTATTTACTACTGGACAATGGGGTTTGGAAAGAGATCTCATCTATGTTCGATGAAAAATGGTAAGTATACATTACATTTAGGCTTCTACTAGATGGTAACAAAATTGTGTTCAAGTGAGATGGTTAAATTTTATACCAACTTGTCATTTGGTGATGAAATGTACTTTTCTTC